TGATTGAGTTTTTGCAAGCGAGGTGGACACAGGAACATCAAAGAGTGTTTCCCTTGTGTTATGGTATGTTTTGTTGAGGTTGGCAGGGAGTTTGGGGGGGAGGGTTTAAAAATCAGATTTAAGTGTTTATGTAGTAAAAAGTGAAATAATAAGTAATTTTTGTTGGTGAAGGTTGAGGTTTTGAAAATTTGGGGGAGGGCTGCCTGTAGTGGAATTTGTTATCATTCTGACTGCGCCTTTTGTTTGGGTTTTAGTGGTTGAGATAGTTAATTGTTGTTGAGCCCCTGCACAAAACATAGGGGAGATGGGGTAATAAAAGAGTGATAAAGGGCCAGAAAGGCTGACTTGGGAAATAGTCCCCTATCTTCGATGTATGCCTACAGTCTTTTGGGAAAATTTTTTTAGAAATTTTTTTTATATGTGTAGAAATTTTTGGGCTATTTTCAAAGGGATTCTAAAATTTCCCTGTTACTTTTTGATAGGTGATCCCTTACTTAGTTAAGAGGGACATCTGTACTCTGTTTTCCAAAATGAATGAAGTAGTTTTTTAATGTTTTTTAAGTTTGTTATCCCATCCAGGGAGTTTTTTCTGTAATTCGGTGTTTTTCAGTATTGGCTAGCGTGATGGGGGTGGGTGGAGAAGACGTTGTAGTGTCATCTGCAAAAAGTGAGGGTTTGAGTAATTGCGAAGCATTTGGGAGGTCATTTATGTATAGGAGAAAGAGAAGAGGGCCAAGGACACTTCCCTGTGGGACACCAACTGCAATTGGTTGTGCAAAAGAGTTTGCCCCCTTTTGCATAAAACATATTGGCTTCTGTTGCTGAGGTATGACTTGGGGTAGTCGAGGGAGTGCCCTCTAATACCATAGTGTGCCAATTTTACGTGGAGCAAGTCATGGTCAACTTTTATCAAAAGCTTACGTAAGTCAATGAAGATCCCCAGTGGGACTTCTTTTTTCTCTATTGCAGTGTATATATGTTCTAGCATGTGTATGATAGCATCATTAGTATTTTTATTAGGCCTGAATCCAAATTGGCAGGGGTTGAGAATGTTATGGGAGATGAGGTAGGAGTAGATTCGTTTATGAATTAATTTTTCGAAGATTTTTGAGGAAAAGGGTGTAAGTTGGATATTGGCCTATAGTTATTCAACTCTGTTTGGTCTCCTCCTTTGTGGATCGGGGTGACCCTTGCTATTTTGAGAACTGTAGGGAAGGTGGAGGATTCAATGGATTTGTTAAAGAGTGTTGCAATGATTGGTGATATTTACTTGTGACACTTTTTTGTATATAAAGGATGGTAAGGTATTTAAATCTCCTGCCTTTTTTTTAGTGCGTTGATAATAAGGGAGACTTATGGGTTTGTCGGAGCTAGGAACGTGTGTTCGGGTAGTTGCCAGTGAGGTAGTCATTTGGTGGGGTATCTGAGCTTGGGATTTTATTGGCAAGGTTTGTCCTATAGTGGAGAAGAAAATCATTGAGTCTGTTTGCTGTTTCTGTTGGTGGAGTTGGGGTTCATCTGATTTTGCTAATTTTATTTCGCTATTTCGTGATATCTTTTTTGTTCCCAGAATTTCTGATAGGGTTTTCCAGGTTCTTTTTTATACACCTCGTAAGTTGGATAATCTGTTCTCATAATGCAATTTTTTTGCCCTTCTTATCAGGCTGGTTAGGATTGACGAGTAACGTTTTGTTTGGTCTCTGGTTATGTGACCCATTCTGTACTGTTTTTCATATTGGTGTTTGTATTTATGGATTTTAGAATTTCTGGGTGTTAGCCAGGGACTGTTCAGTCTCTTAGCTGTCATCTGTTTAGTTTTTTTTGGGCAGTGCTTGTTATAAAGGTATTGGGTCTTTTTTAGAAAATTATTAAAACATTTCGTCAATTCTGTATAGCTTTCTAGCTCAGTGTGCCCGTCAATGTTTGTTACTGCTGTTGTGAAGTTATTAATGGCTGCCTCATTGTGAAGTCTGAAGGTGACTTTAGTAGTGTCTTGGGGTATTTTACCAAGAGTTGTTATGAGGAAAGTAGGGTAGTGGTCTGTGGGATTATCTGTAATTATGCCTGATTTTAAAGGGGATATGGTGTTGGTCCAGATGTGGTCAAGTAGGGAAACACTAGTCTCTAACTCTTGTAGGTTTTGTTACTGTTGGTAGCAACATGCAGTTACTCATTGTGTTTGTGAATTCAGTAACGTGTGGGTCCTGGTCTTGCAGGAGATTGAATGGATTAATTAAGAAAACCAGGGGTCCACTGTACTGTATTATGTCAGTCAACTGTAAACACAAATTTTCTTTCTTTGGGTATTGGGTATATGGTACACGAGATGCAATTTTGGGGAGTTTACAATTTTTGTATAATCAGAAAGGTCAACAATTATCTATCAAATTATTGACCATTCTCTCAAACCTTTTTATGTACTTGTTATTGCTGTTGGTAATTCATTATCAAAAAACTGTGTATTCAGTAAAACCCCCCTTATTAACTTGCATCACACAGTACTTTAGCACCTGCTATAAATAACAAGACAGCTTCTTGACAATTTTCACTGTAAAGATACTGGTATACAGGACAACTGTAAAAAAAAAAATTAGATTTAGGTGGTTTTACTAGCATAATAATATTGGGCAGCAATTTTTTTAAGTAAAATAAGGAGAGTTGAAAATTCCTAGGAGGATAATATTCAACAAAGGATTCTCTAGGGTCTGCAAGCTATATTTTCTTATGGTTAGATGAACTCATAGGCCATTGAAGGTAGTGATCTCTCTATCAGCTTCAAATAATTTTCAACCCCAAGCCATTTTAAACCTTGTACAGTATTAGTCTTTACCTTAGCTCCTCTAAACCCTTTGACGTAAGATAAGATTTTCTTTGGATTTTTAGCCCCAGAGGGTTAGCCACCCAGAATAACCCAAGAAAGTCAGTGCGTCATCAAGGATTGGGTCTTATTTCCATTGGGGTCCTCAGTCTTGTCCCCCAGGATGTGACCCACACCAGTCAACTAACACCCAGGTATACCTATTTGCTGCTAGGTGAACATGATAACAGGTTTGAGGAAACACGTCAAAATGTTTCCTCCCCTCTGTATTCATGCTCCAAAATTCTAGCGGCTTCAAATCAAGCGGGAGAAAAAGTTGGTAGGCCCACATGTGAGGTCTGTGTGGTCAGTGTGCACAGTATAAAATAAAATCTTGCAGCATGCAGTGCATAATGAGAAAAAACCTCCAACCGTGTTTTTGGATTAAAATGCCAACTTTGAGGTGTATTTTCATGTAGTATTTATGGTTTTATTCTCATTTTCTTCATCTCATTTGATAGAAGATATATTACAGAAATAGAGATGATTTTGATTGGGTTTTTAAAGTAAAGGGCCCCGAAAATTTAGCTCAAGTTGTGGAAAAAGTTCATTTTTTCCAATGTTCAAGAGTAAACAAAAGACGCATTGTCTGTAATGTCCAACTAGCCATTCTAAACCATCACAAATGGTTGACATTATTTATACAATTATTACAATTTTGGGTATCTGTATAACAGTAAATCTTCTTTTTTTTGTGTGAAAAAAATTCAAAATAGAAAGCAAGAGAATATAAGAGGGCCTGGAGACTGACGATGAACAGAGAAAAGTTATTTTATTGCCAGGAATGTCTGCAGTTTATTCTGGACCCCCATTTTTAAATTGGGATATTTTTAATGTGCATAAATTGCCAAAATGCCAATTTCGACCATTTTATTGGTAGTTTAAATTGGTAAATGGGGGGTTTCTTGTTTCCAATCGAAGAACAAATGGATTCTAAAGATAAGCTATGAGTTTGGTCGACTGGGAAAAATGCAATTGGCCAAAATAGAGCTCAAAGTGCGCAAAATCGCGAGGTAAAAATCACTGGAAACGCTAAATTCGTGGAGTTAATTCCCCAAGTTTTTTAAAAATTTCGTATTTTTGGTTCATTAAAACTGGGGGAAAAAATTCTCTTCATTTCATAAATTTGTTTTTTTCCGAAAACTGTACCAGCACCCTTTGGATTTGGGTCGGAGAGTTAAAGGGTTAAATCATCAAATAAAATTATTGAAAAACATATTTCTTTGTCAAAAAATTCAGAATATTAAATTTATTAAGAGTTTAAAACCCATACAGGTAGTGAACACAAGATTTTGAGCATTCTTTATGCTAGTATAATGGGTTATTCTGTAGATGAATATTTACACATTACACATTAATATTATTACTATTCTTTCTTTAATGTTAACACCAACTGGCAGTTTCAATTCTCACCTTAAAAAATCTTGTACATTATACTTCAAATTTAGTTCTACCCTGAATGATGTAGTACACTGTAAAGAAAGTGCCTTCACAAAATTATATTTTCAAACTCATGCCAAATGTATTGCATTTTATGAAGAAAAACAGTAATATACAATAAAAAATAGATATAAATAATATAATAAAAATTATGACACTGACCAACAAGAAATTTTCATCAGATATAATTAATGGTGGGCTAAGTAGTTCATGTACACATTTCCAGTTGAACGGTTTTTGCTAAATTATGATTAAGATAATAATCACTGAAATTTGATTGGCCTCATCACAAAAACTAGATATGTTTAGTATTAGTATTGCAGCTGGGTCACTCAGCCTACATTATAATCATTATATACAGGCCATGTCCCACTAAAGTAGAGAGGAATTTAGTGCAGACCAAACAATTGGTAAAGTCTTACCAAGCTTTTCAACACTGGATAAGTCTCCACCCAGAGCAAAACATTATATATATATAAAAAATTGCTATGCACCAAATAATGTTGCACCATACTTAACAACAATACCAATCATCCAAAATACTGTACATATTCCAAATCCATGGTGTGGAGAGGCATTCACTTGGTACTGTAATAGAAGCAATTCTAAAGTATGGAGAACATGAAAGACTACATTATAAAAGAAATAAAGAGGTTATTAAAGAATGTAAAGGCTAAAACTTAAACTAAAGTTTTTGTCTTACAGAGTAGTAGTAACAGCAGGCAAGTCATCTGGTACAGAGGTCAGGTCACGTCCTGAGCAGTCAACCCGGGTTCCTTCACAGTGGCACTGGCTTGGGCATAACTCAACTTCATTGCATCGACCATTGTATTTGGCCCTCAATTCGTTTGTACCTGCATTAAAAGGACGAAGGAAAAGTAAAAATCAAATATCTGACCTGACCTTCATTTGTGATGTTTGTCTTAGAACATTTTTTGTAACTAGTATCTGCTTTATATAGTAGGCAATAAATTGGATAACTCTTTCATTATTACATAAAGTTTGGTCCTTACTTATCTGAGTCCTACTTCTATATTGAAAAAATTTAAGAAACCCAAGTTTGTTTACTGTTTACCTGGAGATGGTTTCGGAGGTCAAAGCCCCCACAGCCCGGTCTGAGACTGTACCTACATACTTGTCATAAATTTTGAGAGTTTTTACACCCTCCATGGTCAGTTTGGAGACAAGGTTCACTGTAGACTACCTGATCAACCTGACTGTTGCTGCCAGCAGCACACAGTTTTGAAACAATACATTTAAAGTTCAATGCTGACAACACTATATAAACAAATCAGTAAACATGCTTTATACAAATACAGTAGGGACCTGCTTTACGGCGTTTCACCTTACTGCATTCCGCTAATACAGCGATGTCAAATTATGACCAAAATTTGCTATATGGCAAGCGGTCTTTCAAATACAGCACACCCCACCCAGTTTGTTTACACCCTCCATGACCACATCTATTATGTCTGGAAACTTTCCAAAATTTCAAGTGTTTTACAGTTATTGCATATTTTATATGTACTCTGATAATTATACTTATGTGTACCTATACCTAAATATACTTACACACTGTGCTGGTGTGCAGGTACACATTTAAATCACTAAGAGTCTCTCTACTCATGATGCCAATAGTACTTAATAATCATCACTCTTGGGCATATTAAATGTCTAATTTTACATTAATATACACATTTTCATTAATCCCTCTGACATTTTCCTCAAAATTATATAAGAAACATGTTACATAGCATATAAACATGATACACACACTCACAGAATAAAAATTGACGTAAATATGAGATTTGTTTACAAAGCGGCTGTGTAGGTAGTTATTATTATTATTATTATCACACTGGCCGATTCCCACCAAGGCAGGGTGGCCCGAAAAAGAAAAACTTACACCATCATTCACTCCATCACTGTCTTGCCAGAAGGGTGCTTTACACTACAGTAGGTAGTGTCAGAAGAATTACATTTTCTCTAGTCAAACACTGGGGGATAACTGTAGAAAAATATTCCTTTCGTATGCCTTCACTCTATACATAGCAATTCACGACCCTTGTGGGTTTAGTGCTTTTTTATTATGATGATAATATCATCATCATCTTCATTCACTCAAAAAATGGCATTGCATGAGAATGGGAGTGTTGCTGTTTGTTTATTCTGTACTAACTTGTACACAATATAAGAGTATTTGTATTGTGAGGCAATTAGTATTATAATAAAAAAATATTGCGAGGTAAAAGTTTTACAAACTCTTACAAACATACATGAATGAGCTAAAAGTACACACATTAATACGCATTTATTTTGCTTGACAAAGTGATCGCCCACTAACTGTTCATTTGTGTTCTTACATTGTCTGAACGATCTCGTTCTCTCTCTCGTTTACTCTTTCGTTAACTAGTTAGCTGTGATAAAAAGAGGAGTTTTAGCCTCTTGCTTTAAGTGCCAAGTTAGAGGATGATGGTGTGCCATTCTGATTTTATTCAATAAACACCCTGCCACTCACCTCTCACACATTAATATTAATATTTTAAGGTAAGTAATAAGTGTACTCTGTGTGTATCTTAACTTTTATTGTGTTTTTAATGCCTATTTCTATTGCTAACTTAACATAAGTTAGTGTAAACTTGTTGTCTGGCATTTACTGCATATTTTATATATGCTCTGATAATGCTTGTGGACCTGTGTGGTAGCCAGGTGGAGGGACAACATTACATTTTCTCTGGTCAGGTACCAGAGAAAACGTGTATGAATCTGCGTTTGGCCCAGTCACTCCCCCACTCCGCTTTTGGTTTCAATTTTCGGCATGAATAATTCATTACTTCTCCCTTCGTTTATGATGGCATCTAAAGGTAGTTGTTAGAAATTATTAAATTCAGTGAACAAGGTATGTCGATGCCAATAATATGGCTCTGGGCCACAGTGTAGGTAGCCGGTAAGAGTAGCCCAGGCGGGCTACACCTACCGGCTACCAACACTTACTTCCTACAAATAAATACTACTCACCTCTCTTCCTACATTAAGACTACACATATTTTAAGGTAAATAATGAGTGTACTGTATGTGTATTTTAACTCTCTGGGCTGTTTTAAATATTGTATATTAAGTATGAGACAGGGAGCGAGGGCTACCTACACCTGACTTCCTACAAATAAGTACTACTCACCTCTCACCCTACATTAGGATTACAAATACTTTAAGATAAGTAATAAGTGTACTGTGTATGTATTTTACTTTGTGTTTTTAATGCCTAGTTCTATTACTAAATATAATTTAGTGTAAACTTGTTGTCTGGCATTTATAAATGGAAAAAATGGCGTTCTGCTTTTCGGCGATAGCCTGGAACCTAACCCACTGCATAAGTGGGGCCCTACTGTACTAGAAAATAATTAATATAAACAGTCATCCCTCATTTATCCAAGATATGGGCCACAAGAATCATTATGCAAAAAATTATGTTAAACAGATCTAATTTTTGAACAAGATTCCATGTTATAACCTGAGATGCAGACCAGGATGATAATTTCCTGAATGTAATACAAGATTTTTATGTTAAACAAATCTAATTTTACCATGAAAGTCCGTATTATTACTCGAGATGGGGACTGGAATGATAATATTCCACGCTACACCCCTACAGCAGTACGCTATTACAATCTGTTGCACAATGCTGCAGCTTCGCTGCTAAAAGCTACTATTGTTGCTAGTGAATTTTTTATATGATTTGAAGTTGCTGCTGCTGCTGCAGGATGGGGGAGGGATGAGTGGGGGAAGGTGCATGACACTGCTCCTCTCAGATTTAACTCCATTACACCCGGGTTTGACCAATTTTTGGGTTACACCTAATTTCTTGCTAACATCACTGATAAAGGGGAAATGCTGATTTTCCCCATACACTATGTATGCGGGCAAGTTTTACTAATCTACTTTGGGGTTGCAGGGGTTTGATACATAGCTCCTCCCCCCTCTTCACGAATGCACTGGGTCCCCTCTCTCCTACTCCATGAGCTTTATCATACCCGTCAAAAATAGTATAGTTCCTGCCTCCCTACTCGTTTGCCAGACTATCCACTTCCTGACAATTTTTATGACTACAAAAATTTCCTAACACCTGACTTGCTGAGTTTTAAACTTCCAATTGTGACCTTGTTCTGTATCCCATGCTGGTTCTCGCCACCTGGGGTTGAAAGGTTGATCACAGCTCCGGGCCCTGCCTCTTCACGGCCGCCTGGGCCACTCTTCGCTCCTTTACTTTATCAACCCCTTCTTAAAGCTATGAAGGATATTGCCTCCACTATATCCATCCCTAAAATTCCACTTCCTGCTATAGGGACGAAGAAATACTTCCAACATCCCTGTGATTTTTGAGTCTTCAACTTCCAACGTGACCCCTTGTTGCGTTCCCCCTCCGGAACTTCTGTCGTCCACTTTTTCATTCCTCTCAGTATTTTTTTTATCAGTCCTCCCCATCCTTCTGTCCTCCATGTCGTCAGGTCGATTTCCCTTTTAAAAATTTTCCTGTGGGCAATCTCTTAGCTCCAGGGCTAGTCTTGTTGCAAACATTTGCACTTTCTCTAGTTTCCTTACATGCTTGGCTAGGTGTGAGTTCCAAACTGGTGCTGCATACTCCAATATGGGCCTAATGAACAGTGTACAGGGTCCTGAACGATTCCTTATTAAGATGTCAGAATGCCGTTTCTTACATTTGTGTGTGTGTGTACTCACCTAATTGTGGTTGCAGGGGTCAATTCACAGCTCCTGGCCCCGCCTCATCAACTGGCCGCTACCCGGTCACTCTTCCCACTCCGTGAGCTTTATCATACCTCTTCTTAAAGCTGGGTATGGATCCTACCTCAACTACATCACTTCCCAACCTATTCCACTTCCTGACTACTATGTGACTGAAGAAATACTTCCTAACGTCCCTGTGATTCATCTGAGTCTTCAACTTCCCTTGCTGCTGTGTCCCATCTCTGGAACATCCTGTCTGTCCACCTTGTCTATACCTCTCAGTATTTTATATGTCGTTATCATATCCCCAAGTCTCCTGTCTTCCAGTGTCATCAGGTTGATTTCCCTTAACCTCTCCTCGTAGGACATACCTCTTAGCACCAGGACTAGTCTAGTTGCAAACCTTTGCACTTACTCTAGTTTTCTTACATACTTGGCTAGGTGAGGGTTCCAAACTGGCATTGCATATTCCAATATGGGCTGTACAGGGTCCTGAATGGCTCCTCATTTAGATGTCGGAATGCTGTTCTTAGGTTTGCCAGGTGCCCGTATGCTGCAGCAGTTATTTGGTTGATGCGAGCCTCAGGAGATGTTCCCGGTGTTATACTCACACTTGACCAAGGTTTGTAGGCTCTGGCCCCCTAGACTGTACTCCGTCTGTGGTCTTCTTTGCCCTTCCCCAATCTTCATGAATTTGCACTTGGTGGGATTGAACTCCAGGAGCCAGTTTCTGGACAAGGGCTACAGTCTGTCCAGATCCCTCTGTAGTTCTGCCTGGTCTTTGTCCGACTAAATTCTTCTCATCAACTTCACATCATCTGCAAACAGGGACACTTCGGAGTCTATTTCCTCCATCTGTCGTTCACAAATACTAGAAACAGCACTGGTCCTAGGACTAATCCCTGTGGCACCCCACTCGTTACCAGCGCCCACTGACACCTCGCCACATACCATGACTCACTGTTGTCTTCCTGACAAGTATTCCCTGATCCACTGTAGTGCCTTCCATTATCCCTGCCTGGTCCTCCAGCTTCCCCACTAATCTCTTGTGTGGAACTGTGTCAAACGCTTTCTTACAGTCCAACAAAATGCAATCTAACCACCCCTCTCTCTCGTCTTACTGCCGTCACCCTGTCATAGAACTCCAGTAGGTTTGTGACGCAGGATTTCCTGTCCCTAAAACCGTGTTGGCTGTCGTTGATAAGCTCATTTCTTTCTAGGTGTTCCACCACTCTTCTCCTGACAATTTTCTCCATGACCTTGCATACTATACATGTCAGTGGCACTGGTTGGTTGGTGTGTGTGTGTGTGTGTGTGTGTGTGTGTGTGTGTGTGTGTGTGTACACGTACACAAGGGGGGGGAGGCAGATTGGTTATTGCATGCGCCAATGGTTGGAAATTTGTGTCCAGCAATGTTGACCATTAATCGGAGGAAGGGTTTTATTTTTTCTGGTCGTTAAGCGAAATTCCACTAAACAAACTCTCATTAGGCAAGGTATACTAATAATTAGGCACTCTGAATTCTTGATACAAATTACTGAAACTTCAGTCTCTCCTCACTTAATGACAGTTCCGTTCCTAAGACAACGTCGGTAAATGAATGCATCGCTAAGTGAGGAGCATACTATAATGGTAGTGGGTTTGAGTCAATCTTTGACATTGTTTTAATGTCACCTTTGCACCATTTATAACATTTCTGGTATATTTTTAAATGCTTATACAGTAGTGTACTGTATATTGTAATAAACAGAATAGAGGAAATCAGCTCTAATACACATTTAGGTATGAATACTGGTCAGAGAGCTTGTCATAAGTCCAAGCCGTTGGTAAACCAGTACTTCAAATTCATTATCAAATTCACTAATATCAAAGGCTCCCATACATAAACTAATAGCATTTAATTAAAACCGACTCACTTAGTACTACACCCAGAGTAACAACTTACACTTGAAGCCCTCTGGCCTAAGTCTGCCAAAGGGTTTTCTGGATAGCTTAGTTGGTTCCTGGCAGCGTGCACCTGAAGTCTCAATTGGATTCTCAGCCAGATAGGCAGCTAGCCAAGCTAAATTGCAGTCACACACAAAAGGGTTGGCTCCCAAGTGCCTGAAAGAATATATAATTTATTTATAAGGATATAAATCATAAAAATTGCATAATTCATGGATAGTAAAGTCAAACATCTTACAGAGTAAAATGCACTAATGGAATTTATGATTTTACAATAGGATATCCAACACATGAAACCTCTGGTCTCATCACAATGGTAACAGATACTGACACTGATACCGATACTAATAACATCAAAATTGGCCAATACCCACCACCACTGATACTTTGGCACATCCCCACTCCTCACAATCGAACATTATATACATGAAGAAGCATTAATCCTGTACATGTCATACAGCTCCTGGAGAATGACAGGTAATCAGGTTTGATCCAAGGAATGAGAAGGTAGGTCCAATTTCATGGATCAAACACCCTTCACCAGCATCAAAATAATCCTGAAGAGTCACAGTCCCACAGCCCCAGGATAACTAAGATTTTATTCAAGTTCACAACAAATTTAGGTTTTTACAATTGTCTGAAAGTAACTTGTGCAGATAAACCTAGAATAAACCAATAAGGGTAGATAAAGGTGCTCCTTGACTTATGATGAGGTTACATTCCGAAAAAAAAAATAAAAAACTATTTCTTTGCTAAGGTTAAAGTGTGTGTTTACATTTCATAATTTGATTGGTACAAAGAAAGCCACTATCATGCCGAGGCATTTCGGGCAGCCTTAACCTAATACAGTGGACCCCCGCCATACAATATTAATCCGTTCCCGAGAGCTCATCGTAAGCCAAAATTATTGTTAGCCGAATTAATTTTCCCCACATGAAATACAGTGAACCCCTGCCTTACGAACGTATCGCATTACGTTAAATCCGCCATACGAAGCATTTGAATGCAAAAATTTTGCCTCGCCTCATGATAAAGAACTCGCCTTACATGATTCGTCCGGGACGCGTCCCACGTGTGGCCTCAGCTGCCCCGTGGGTGCCAGTGTTTACAAGCCAGCCAGTGCGGTCGCATCCATGCATACATTCGGTACATTTCACCTTATCCCAGTGTTTTTTGTGCTTGTAACTGAAAAGTAAGTCACCATGGGCCCCAAGAAAGCTTCTAGTTCCAACCCTGTGGTAAAAAGGGTGAGAATTAGTATGGAAATTAAGAAAGATTTTGAAGGGTTTGGAGCTAACCCTGAGAAGCCTATGCCAGTTGTGGAATCCATTGTGCCTACTTCAAAGATTAAGGAAATGTGTGCAAAGTGGGTTGAAGTGCAAACCTGTATGGATGAAAATCACCCTAACACAGCTATTGCAAGCCGTGCTGGTGACTATTACAATGACAATGTTGTGGCCCATTTTAGGCAAATCTTAAAGGAACAGGAGGTACAGACCTCCATGGACAGATTTGTTGTGCAACAGAGGTCCAGTGACTCTCAAGCTGGTCCTAGAGGCATTAAAAGAAGAAGGGAAGTAACCCCGAAAAAAGACTTGCTACCTCAAGTCCTCATGGAAGGGGATTCCCCTTCAAAGTATTAACTTTCACACACTCCCCTCCTCCCATCCCATCAATCATCACCAGATCTTCAATAAAGGTAAGTGTCATGTATTCTATTCTTAGTAGAGTAGTAATTGTGCATGTCTTTTTCAGTTTGTGTGCATTAAAATTAATATTTCATGTGGTAAAATTTTTTTTTTCATACTTTGGGGTGTCAGGAACGGATTAATTTGATTTCCATCACAGTGGACCCCCACCTTATGATATTAATCCGTTCATGAGAGCTTATCGTAAGCCAAAATTATCATTAGCGGAATTAATTTTCCCCATAAGAAATAATGTAAATCAAATTAATCTGTGCAAGACACCCCAAAGTATGAAAAAAAAAAATTTTTTTACCAAATGAAATATTAATTTTAATACACACAAACTGAAGAAGACATGCACAATTACTACTCTACTAAGAATAGAATACATGACACTTACCTTTATTGAAGATCTGGTGATTGATGGGATGGGAGGAGGGGGGAGTGTGGAAGTTATTGTTTAGAAGGGGAATCCCCTTCCATGAGAACTTGAGGTAGCAAGTCTTTTTCTGGGGTTACTTCCCTTCTTTTAATGCCACTAGGACCAGCTTCAGAGCCACTGGACCTCTGTCGCACAACAAATCTGTCCATAGAGCTCTGTACCTCCCGTTCCTTGTTAGACTTTCCTAAAATGGGCCATAACATTGTCATTGTACAGGTTGCCAACACGGCTTGCAGTAGCTGTGTCAGGGTGATTTTCATCATGCGAGGCAAAATTTTTGCATTCAAATGCTTTGTATGGTGGATTTAATGTAACGCGATGCATTCGTAAGGCGGGGGTCCACTGTACTTAACCCTTTCAGGGTTTCGGCCGTCGCGCAGGGGTTTTTGACGTACTAGTATGCATAAATTTTAGTGCCGTCAAATCTCGCGGGAAAAGGCTGGTAGGCCTAGATGTGAGAGAATGGGTCTGTGTGGTGGATGTGTGCAGTAGAAAAAAATCTGGGACCCAGTGGTGCATTGTGGGAATGCCATCTTAATAAACAATGTCCACCATGCCTCACGGCAAGAAGTTCCTCACTCCTCGGCGAATTGGGATGCTTTTGTTCCCCAGTGACAATTCTAATACAGATGGAAGTGCCAGTGAAGATGAGTTTCAAGGTTTTGGTGAGGTTTTGGCCGAAACTAATGACCATAACATCGGTAATAGTGAGGAAAACCCAGACGACCCTCAGCCTTCCACCTCTGCTGCTGGACCGTCTTGTTCACGCTTAGTTGTACCAGAATCAAAGTGGAAACTCCTATTTTCCCAAATCCCAGACTCTGATGTGAGCATTTGTGATGACAGTGATAGTGATTATGAACTACAAGCTCTTCAAACTAGTTCCAGTAGTGATAGTGAAGTGCAATATTCCCCAGGGAAGCATCAGTATATATGACAATATATGTGCTCTGGTAGTATGCCATATGCTATTCCAAGGGAAAGGAGTACATCTCGGAGTACATCCTGTGGCTGTACAACAGGAACTGACAGTGAAAATGGCGATGAAAGTGTTGCAATTGGGATGGAAAATGCGCATAGTGGTGGTGGTGCCGGGCGTGAGGCACCAGCAGTGGGCCATGCTGCCACCAATGCCGCTGCCACCTACACCGCTGCCACCCACGCTGCTGCCTCAGCTGATCTACAACAAAGGCCACCATCCCCCACCACACCAGCCTCCACAACCACAACCACCTGTCATTGTCCAGTACCCACCAGCAGACCACACCTGGGATTGGCAGGAAGCTGTCAATTTTGTTCCAAATCCCTACCAGTTTGATGACAGCCAAAGTGGAATACGGCCATCCTGTACACTTGGGAACAATGCCAATGAACTGGAATGTTTCGAGTTATTCTTTGACAAACCCCTGATGGAAAGTATTGTCATGGAAGGCAACACATACTATGAGTACACCATGGCAAACACAATACTTTCACCAAAATCACGTCTACACCAGTGGAAGGAGACAACTGTGGCTGAGATGTATCTTTTCTTTGCCACAATAATGCTTATGCCACATGTGTATAAGCACAGTGTGAAATCATAAAGGTCAACAGACCGGCTGATTGCAACCCCAGGTTTCAGTGATATAATGCCAGTGAATCGATTTGTGCTAATGTTACGTATGCTTCACTTCTCAGACAAAACCAGGCCTGACAGAAACGACAGGTTATATAAGATTAGGCATGTGTTTGTGTATCTGAAAGAGAAATTCAGTATGTATTTTTATCCCTTCAGGAAGCTTGTAATTGACGAGTCTTTGATTCAAAGGAAGACTCTTTCGAGCAGTACATACCAAGCAAGAGGAAACACTTTGGTATAAAGTTGTTTGTGCTTTGTGATTGTTACAGTGGTCTGGTATTGGATATTACTGTGTACACTGGAAGTTATACATTGCAAAATACCAGGAAGTTATTGGGCATCTCTGGTGGTGTGGTTAGAAGAATGATAGAACCATACCTTGGTAAGGGGCATATATTATATACAGATAACTGGTACACAACCTAGGTAGTAGGTTGGTAGACAGCAACCACCCAGGGAGGTACTACCGTCCTGCCGAGTGTAAAACGGAAACCTGTAATTGTTTTACATGATGGTAGGATTGCTGGTGTCCATTTTTCTATCTCATAAACCTGCAAGGTTTCAGGTACATCTTGCTACTTCTACTTACACTTAGGTCACACTACACATACAAGCATATACGTATATACACACCCCTCTGGGTTTTCTTCTATTTTTCTTACTAGTTCTTGTTTATTTCCTCTTACCTCCATGGGGAAGTGGAACAGAATTCTTCCTCCGTAAGCCATGTGTGTTGTAAGAGGCGACTAAAATGCCAGGAGCAAGGGGCTAGTAACCTCTTCTCCTGTATATATTACTAAATGTAAAAGAAGAAACTTTAGTTTTTCCTTTTGGGCCACCCCGCCTAGGTGGGATACGGCCTGTGTGTTGAAAGAAGAAAGAACTGGTACACAAGCCCCTTACTCAGTGATTTTTTGCGAGTGAACTTGACAGATGTGTGTGGCACAGTGCATGCAAATCGGAAACATATGCCCAGGTTTGACGCTGGCACTCGTAGAGGTGAGGTGCAGGCGTTTGCTGCCAATGACATGGCATTTTGGTGGCATGACAAACGAGATGTCACACTGTTGTCATCAGTTCACCCTAATGAAATGGCAGACACTGGCAGGCAGCATAGAGAGAGCAATGAACCCATTCTAAAACCTGCAGCTGTGATTGATTACACCTTCAATATGCGTTCAGTGGACAAATGTGACATGCAGATTGGGTTTGCCGATTGTGTTCGCAAGAGTTATAAGTGGTACATAAAACTCTTTTTCCATCTTCTGGACATTTCCATGCTGAATGCTTATAATATGTATAAGATGAGGACCAGAAACAAACCACCACACAGCGAATTCTGTTTGTCTGTCATCGACAAATAGTATTCAAGTAGTACCAAGGAACAACACCTGCAATAGACCGC